TTATCTTAAGTAAATACCCACGATATAATGGACCTTGCCATATCGTAAAAGCCTAATTAAAGCGATTGTTTGTGAAGGACATTGGAGGTAGTTGAACTGGAATATCACTGGACCATGCACAGGTTGTTCCATGTGGTTTCCCTGTGTGTATCTACATGTGTGTAAATTATTCTAGTTCAGTGAGAGGGTGGAGTCTCCACAGAGCCGATTCAGGTCATGGTCAAACAGAGGGAGAGACAGACAGACAGAAAGAGAGGAAAAGTGAGGAGGGGAAGAAGAAGTCAGAACAGGAAGTACTGCTTTGAGCCCTCACTGAGAAAATCCCTTTCCCCTAAGAAGAGGATAGAACAGGAGTTGACTTGGAAATAGAAAATATGTAAAAGCAAGAAGTGTGGAAAGCTCAACAAGAGGTCTGAAAGCAGAAATGTGATGATATTTTAAAAAGCATAGCGTCTATCAGGCTTGAGATCTGCTTTATATAGTTATTAAACAGGTACTGTAAATGAGGTCCAAATAACCGAAAATACCAAACTAGAGAAATGCATATCTGTGTCATAAACAATATCAGATTAGATCGTTCGATGAAAACCAGCAATTAGAATAAAACTTGAGTCTTTGGCACAGAGTAGAGTAGCTAATTCAATATTCTGATTAAGTTGCCTTCCTTTGAAAACTCAGCAGAAAAATGTAGCTTAATTTATAGTTCTTCATTAACCAATTGCCACATTAAGAAATCTAAAATCCTTAGTGGTTTTGGCATGCAGTCAAAAGCACACTCATGCAAACTGTAGCTCATTTCGTGTCACAGGAAAAAGGGCTTGTTCTGGAGACCTGAAATAGTGTTGTATCACTTCAGCAAAACCTAGATGGCTAATTTTTTGCACTCCACACCTGTACTGTTTCTTTCTCACAACTATCTTTTTTCATTCTCTATCATTTCCTCTCCTCTCCTATAGTGAGCCAAAAACCCAATTTATTTCTGTAGCGTTGAGAGGGATGTGAGGGTCCCGGGGGGATTCTTTGCTGTTGTGTCGCCCAGGTAACACACTGTCAGGGACACGGCCTTCCAAGCCAACAAAAAAAAAAGCCACAGTAGATATTTTCAATCATTTAAAAAACAAGGAGGCAAGAGAGGAATGATGGCAAAGCAGAGCGGGATAAACCGATGATGGGGAGTAGACATGAAGGGAAAGAAGAAAATAAATAAGTGGAATGGGGAAAACATTGGATTGGAGGTGAAAGAAGGGAAAGGGAGAAGCTAGAGAGGTGAGGGGAATTGAAGGAAAGGTTGACAACCACAAACACTACAGCACTGATGGAATCCCAGTCAGAAAACACACCCACGACTGTCAGTCAAGTTGCCCCAATTGGCTGCCAGTAGTTGCTATGGTTCCCGTCCCCACTCTGCTGTTATCCCCGTGGCTCTTGCTGTTGACCAAACACACAGAGAACCAGGCATTCAACATAATTACAGTTGTCATATCAGTACGAGATGCTGCCTTCTCCATATCTCTGTTGTCTTTTCTTTAAGTTCCTCCCCCTCCCATTTTATTAACACTCTCAGAGGGAGAGTGTGTGTGTGTGTGGTGTGTGTGTGTGTGTGTGTGTGTGTGTGGTGTGTGGGTGTGTGTGTTGGTGTGTGTGTGTGTGTGTGTGTGTGTGTGGTGTGGGTGTGTGGTGTGTGTGTGTGGTGTGTGTGTGTGTTGTGTGTGTGGTGTGTGTGTGTGTGTGTGTGTGTTGTGGTGTGTGTGTGTGTGTGTGTGTGTGTGTGTGTGTGTGTGTGTGTGTGTGTGTGTGTGTAGTGTGTGTAGTGTGTGTGTGTGTGTGTGTGTGTGTGTGTGTGTGTGTGTGTGTGTGTGTGTGTGTCCCACCCCATCTTGTGTCAGATTTCCCTTCCTGCTGCTTTGATTGACAGCTGTCAAAAGTAATGCGTCAGAGGCATGGCCGGGGTGACATAGATGCTTTGATCAGATCTGAGATCAGCACTGTCATATCTGACTGGAGTACGCCAGCTGGAAAGGGATTCCCTTTAATGACAGTACGATTAAAAATGTGTGTGTCAACTGTCAAAGACGTGTATAGGTTCGCCTTGACCTCAGTTGACCCCAAGTACAATATCCAGCTCATTTGAATGAATTTCGACCTAGTTGTGACGTATTTCTTTTAAATAAAAATCACCTTAACGACCAAAACTGTTTTTAGCTTGATGACGAATTTAAAACCACTGAATGTACAGATACATTGGATAGTGATGCAATGCATTCATCCTGAAGATGATCTGGTTTGAAGGCTTTGTAGATCCAGAGTGACCTACCTACTGCATGTATGCATACCTAATTTATTTTTGCAATAAATCTGCAATTTCTCTGTAGATGAAACCCATTCAAGAATTCCCAGGAAATGTGGAAGAATTCTTATAAAAATCAGAAGACATTGATATGCTATTCTCAGAAAGGGAATGCCATTGAAATGCTAACTGCTTCTCTGTAAAATGTATGTTTACATCTCTCATCCTAATCACATAATGGGGGTGCTTTGTACATTTTTTCACTTATTCACTTAAGAGCTGTATAGGTGACTATTTGGAAAAGGGTACTACCATGTGATGTGTACTTTTGCAGAAAAAATACATAATGTTTTACATCTTAACAGATTGTCATAGGCTGCCTTTTTAAATATTTGTTAAAGTAATTCATCATAGCATAACCAGAAGGTGTAGCAGTAAGTTGTTTTTTTTACAGGGAAGATTGAGATGGATTGAAGAAATCAATATTCTTTGACACAAATTAGTACTTTACTTTGCCGTTAACATCAGTATGCCATTGCTTGTCGCTTTAACCGATAAGTTGATTGACATATTCATCTGTCTTTCTATTAGGGTGTCTATTTTGCTGTGTTTTATTTAACCTTAAAGGCATTAAATCAAATTTCCATAATACTCGTATGAGAAAATATAATTTTTTGGAAACTGCTAAATATACTAACACACTATTTTAGTGTAGTAGCTTTATTCCTGTGCCTCGAATGGCTCGAATGGCCTGCCTCTGGATGAAAAGAGGAAAGGAGCGAGAGGAAAAGAGCCATGACTCATTCAAATTATCCGCTGAAGTGGAAATCCTGAAAATGTGTCTTACACACACACACAAATGACATATTCACTCAAAACACACATGCACAGAGGGGAGCCCATTTGGAGTTTCACCATGTGTGATGTGCTCTGAGCAGCAGCCAGTCAGAGAGTGTGTTGCTTCAAATCTGCTCTCAATGGGAGAAAGTGTATTTTCACATGTGTTCCTAAGTGTACCTCCGTCTGTGGGGGTGCAGAGTGGGAAATGACACCACCCGAATAGTGTCACAGTATTGCATTATAGCTTGTATTTTCGAACATTTAAGTGTGCATTCATCTTTCCATGTCCATGTCAAATGAAAGGCGATGGCAGTGAAAGTGTAGATCAAGAAATAGGCCTTATCTTTTCTTATTAGGCAACAGATTCTCTAACTTGTTGGACAACTAAAGTAATATTTGTCTAAGATCATTTTGAGTTACTACTGAAAACCAAAAAGTCAAACACTGACAGGTCTTTTTGAGTGTGTGTGTGTGTGTGTGCCTTTGAATTGTGGGAGTAAATGACCAGAAACTGTAAACCTTAGCCAAACACTTGAAGTTTCTTGAAAGTCTTGCAAAAGTGGCGGGAAATCATTGTGCATATCACAACATTTGAAATTAGTGATGTGGCAGTTTACAAAAGTTGGATTTTTTTCGCATAGAAGTCGCCAACAAACAGGAGAGACTGATGGGCTTTTGTTTTGAGAACAAACATTCAGAGAGGAAAATGCCATAGGAAGTGTTCATAAGTTCACACAAGAGAAATAAGTGAGCTGAAGAAGGAACACTTGTCTCTGTCTCACAGCCTTTCCCTTGAATTGATAGCATGACAGGAATCATTACCCACATTGTCATATCCCTTCCACCAGCAGGATACAGCAGGGCACCTGAAATAGATGAAAGGAAGTAGATTGGAGAGCAAATCTTAATTCTTATGGAGGCCCTTAACACGCTAGAGTGATTTAACCTCATTGACACGTCAGTGATCCCAATCTCTTCTCTTCTCTCCTCTCCTCTCCTCTCCTCTCCTCTCCTCTCCTCTCCTCTCCTCTCCTCTCCTCTCCTCTCCTCTCCTCTCCTCTCCTCTCCTCTCCTCTCTAGATCATTAGGTGCCATCATCACCACCATCATTCATCTCATTATTCACAAATCAGGATTAATGACAAGGTCTTATGCCACTTTCGTATCAAGCCATTTGGTTTCCTCTAGTTCTCCTTTGTTTTTCTGAGGGCGAACATACATTCTTCGGTTTTATTAATGTTCATCTCAGCTGAATCTCAATGGTTTGCCTAGACAGAGAGCTGAACAATATATCACTCTATGATCTTAGACGTTATGTTTCTCAAGCATGAAATGAGGAGCCATAAAATCTGAATACCGATAAATAAAGTCTGTTTATAAGTTGAATGGCCTTCATGCATGTCCTGAGGATTTGTAGTGGATGTAGGTGAAAGCTTTTTGCGCAGGGCTGTTGCTGTGTATGTGATAAGGAAGGATTTCAATTTGGGACTATTTTCAGATGTGAATGAATACACATTTTATGGGAGCAGGTTGATTTAGCTTGTAGGCCTTTTTAAGGCAAGGCAACACCTGCTAGTAGCATCAGTTTATTGTTCATATGTTATTTTCATGAGCTATAAATAGGCTTATGCTTTTTAAAATCTTGTTAAGATAATCTGGCTGTTATATTTAGTACTATTAATATATGTTCTTTGTATTCTACCACCTCGGATAAGAGTTTCAGTGGGATACTGTAAACAGAGTGTGATGCTAACGTGCTGAATCATATCCAACAGAGTCCATGAATAGTCTGCGTGTTAAAATGTGTTCGCTGCCATATTTGGATGACAACGAAGCTGTGTTTCTGACCACTTTCCCTTCTGTGTCTCCATAGAAACCTGCTGGACAGGGACACCTTCTCCAAATCAGACCCAAGTAAGATCCACCACATATCTGTATGTCTTATAAACCCATGGTGAACAAGTTTGTGTGTCTCTGCATGATTGCCTCTTTATCATTTAAAAAATAGCTCAACAAGAAGTTAAGGATAGATTAGATATGCAAGGGGTACAATTGGAAATGAATGTAAAAAGAACAGATGTGCACAATGTCAAAAATAATGGGATTAAATGGCGAGACGAATTAAAAAAGGACCAGTCGAAGGTCTTTTGTGTTGCAGTATGTAGTCATGAGTCACTCCTTAAGTGTTTTTTTCTCACTAAATGCGTAAGTTCTGCTGGAGAAGTGTGACTAATGCATGAGCCAATTAAGAGGCTTCGACCTATGGATTTACAAAAAATGGTGTTAATTCTCCTCTTTATCCAGCAGTTAAAACAATTATAATAATTATCTTAGTAACAAGGCTGTTAGTTAAAGGAGGAGATCGACCTTTTGGAAAATAGCTTGTGCGCTTCCTTAGACTCAGATGAGAAGATCTGGTTAGGGTTAGGGAAGATCAATAACCCCCTTGTCTGCTAAATGACTTCACTTATTTGGCATCTAAAAACTTTATTTGAGAACTTATCATATAGTTAATTAGCTTCATGTGTGTGTGGGTGTGTCTTAGGATGTATGAATAGATATCAATGGCTCCTACTTTTATATATACTTTTCATTTGTAGCAGTACAACATTTTAATAAGTACTCTGTTATAAGTGAAAGTCGTACATTCAAAATCTTACTGAAGTAAATGTAAAAAGGTATTGGCATCAAAATGACTAGATTATGATTATTGATACATTAATGTTTTCATCACAGTTGGTACATGTAGAGCTATTTTGTATTACTTTATGTACTGCTGCTGGATATTTTACCCTCTAATAAATGTCAGTTTTCATTTATAAGTTGATTTACTTTTTATATTGGCTTAAAATCTGAATCTGCAAAGTAATAACTAAAGCTGTCTGACAAATGTAGTGGAGCTAAAAGTACAATATTGGTTGAAGTATAAAGTAGATCACTGGACCCACTAATACACACATACTGTTTTTGTAATACATATGTCAGCATATTCACAAAAGCATGAGGAATAAACGACTCTATGATAATGATGGCAGAGATAAACACGATGACGAGAATGACGGTAACATGATGAGGATGAGTGGAGGAGGGGGAGGAGGGCTTGCTGAGTGGTGATCACGATTATGCTGAGCATGGCGTCTTCGGACTCCTGATATGAACCAGACTGACAGCAAGAAAGAGCAAGGAGGGAAAGAAAAGAGGAAATAAAAGGGTGTATGAGAAACATAGATACCCTGGATCTGTCACTTGCTGGTAAAAATACATTTAAAATGAGAGCAGTGATCAAATTTGACAGACAACAAGAAATTGTAACGCAACCACTGCTTTCAGGTACAAGCGGGATTGAGTCATAAAACCCTTCAATACATAAGCATCCAAAACCGCAAAGAAGTTTTCTATTTTATAATTGGTTTTATTTGTATCTTTTCCCAGAAATATATTATCTATCAGACCCCAGAAATAAGACGAAATATCGTGTGTGTTCCTTTCCTACATCCTTCTGGCACTTATCTGAGAGGCACATCAAAGGCCTCGAGAAATTAAGTGTATGATGAGTGAGCTCAGTAATTTTCCTTTTATTAAATTGTCCTGTTAAGGGGAAATTGGATAATGTTCGCAAATGATGTCTTTCACCATCTTAAGACAGAAAACATGTTGGGCTTCATGAATAAAACTATTAGGTGCTTTGATGTAGTTTTATTATTCATAATGCCTGCATTTATGGCTCGTTAGGCATATTCGGATGGATCCAATAACACTTTTAGCTTGGTGTTATATGAGAGTAATACTGTATTCATTTGTCCTTTGTTAGCTTAGCCACCATTTCAATAATATGATGTTATAATTTACAATCCTTTCGTACAGTTGTCAGGTAGTATATTGATAATTAGGAAGGTTTTTAGAATAAAAAAGCTGGAAAACTATGCTATTAGCATGGGTTTTATCATGTTTCTAAATGTTATCTTATGTGTTCATTTTATCCACAGTATGTGTTCTTTACGCACAAGGCATGGGCAACAAGGAGTGGAGAGAGGTGAGTGTTAAAGAGAGTGATTTTATGTTTCATTGCCAACATTTATCCACATTTTATCCTTATAAACTTATATTTTATAACAGACCAATGGTGAAAACAAACAAGCAGTGGAAACACACTCAAATGCATCTTTATCTACTCCTAAATCTACTTCTGGCTAGCATTATCAAGCTAGCTATGGTACAATAAGAGGCAACAGCTATGCTAGTTGCTATCTGAGGCTGTGGTTTTGCACAGTGATGCTTTAAGTTAAATGCTAATTTCTTCATGCTAGCAAGCTGACTAATGCTGCGTTCCATTTACCATCAGAGTCGTAATCGTAGCTGGGAACACCGTCACACCCAAGTTGACCACATTCCTGTTCAACAAGTCAGAACAGTTAACAATACCAGTTCTAGCCATGTAAGCCATTGTTAGCAATACCACGTGATAAAATACAAGCACCATAGCAACATGTTCACAGATAAAAGTAATACAGTGTAGTTCCAGGTAAAATGTCCGACTTTGAGTCCAAAAGGAATTCACATAAGACAATGATGAAACTCTCATGTTTAGCAGGCATGATGCTAACCACCATATGTTAGGTTGCTAGCATGCTAACTCACCTAACTTGCTAATAATGGCTAAAGAAGCCTGTCAGCTTAACAGTAATAAAGCTTACATCCTATTGTAGAAACTGTAGATCATTTATATTTAAACAATCACAATGTGCAACACAAAGAAAGTAATATCATTATTTAATGTCAACTAATTATGATAAATAACTAGACTTTGTTTGTGCTTGTGGACACAACCAGTAACTATGTGTGCATGTGTGCACTCTCGTTAGGCTGCACTGCATCCACTTTCACAATGATGAATATTCAGCAATGGAAACCAGGGGGCAGCTTCAATCATTGCCATTTATTCATTGTTCTGAGTAGCCCATCATCTGCATGCATTATTAATAGGCTAAGTTAAATGCCAAACTGGCAATGTGCTTGACCCCCATTGACTTGATGCTTCAGCCTCTGCCCTGATGAGTCACCTGACGAGAGATAACCTGCTGGAGATTAGTTCTTCCCAGGAGATATTACAACCTCACTAAGTGCCTATAAAAACTGCAATATGTAGAAGAAACAATGATTTAGCTTAAATGTATCCAAATTAGGGCTGCTCGATTATGGCAAAAATCATAATCTCGATTATTTGGGTCAATAATTGATATCACGATTATTAAAAACGATTATCCATTTACTTTGAAAACATCAATTTATTGGAGAAAAGAAATTTGAACTGTATGTTTTTAACAGTTGATTACATATATATTATAATAATAATAATACAAAAATAATCGTTTTATTGCGATTACGTTGTTTTCGTAATCGTTGCAAGCCATAATCGTAATTGCGATTAAAATACGATTAATTGAGCAGCCCTAATCCAAATGGTATTCTTATCTGTCTTTATCTTCCTTTCTTTATCTAGTTTGGGAGAACGGAGGTGATAGACAACACGCTAAACCCGGACTTTGTGCGGAAATTCATTTTGGACTACTTTTTTGAAGAGCGACAGAACCTGCGATTTGACTTGTAAGTAATGTGTGTGTGTGTGTGTGTCATACTTGCCAACCCTCCCGATTTTCGCGGGAGACTCCCGATTTCATTGCCCTCTCCCGGTTTCCTCCCGGGGTCATATTTCTCCCGCATTTCTCCCGATTTCTGACAAAATCAGATTTACTCAGGACTGTTTCCACTCGGACTTTAATACAGCTACACCATTGTTTGGTTTCCATGGTAGCGTAGCGCGTGCAACTGAAAGTCTGAGAGGGTGAGGATGGAAGATAGTCCAACCCAGTCTCACGGCATTTCGTGTTATAGTCACGAAATTAATCTATTGATTCGTGTTCACCAACACGATTTCGCCATTTTTTTCGTGTCACACAGAACGATTTTAAAAGCAATGTAAATAATAACAAATTAGAAGGAAAAAGACATTTAAAAAAATACAGATTTAAGTATTCTGACACAGAACGATTTTAGAAGCAATGTATTTATATTGGTAGTATGTTTCGTGCCTGCACCAAATAATAACAAATTAGAAGGAAAAAAAGATGACATCAAATACAGATGTCAGTATTCTGAGGCTCTGAGCCCCATTTCTGTTCCTCACTGACGGCAAAAAAACTCAGACATTATACAATTTAAAATAAAAGGGTTAGGGTTAGGCTTAGGGTAAGATATTGAGTAAGAACATGTTTTTATGAACCACACAGCTTCTGGTCTTCCAAGACCCGACCGGACAAAAAGACGTGTTGCAGGCACGAAACATACTACCAATAGAAATACATTGCATTTAAAATCGTTCTGTGTGACACGAAAACAAGGTGAAAATCGTGTTGGTGAACACGAATCAATAGATTAAATTAATTTCGTGACTAATAACACGAAATGCCGTGAGACTGGGTTGCATAGTCACAGCAAACAGAACAAGAATCGACAATTCTACCCTCTGCTCACTCCTTTCCTGTAAAATACAGGTCTAGCCCACACATATGGTGCTACAGGCCGCAAGGCAGTGCACTTACAACTACAATAAGCATGTTAATGTTAATCTAATACAGCTCCGGCGATCCACTAGCATCCCCACCCCCCCTCCCCCCCCGGCGGTGGTTTTGGAAATGCTCCCGATTTCTGAGGTCTCAAGGTGTGTGTGTGTGTGTGTGTGTGTGTGTGTGTGTGTGTGTGTGTGTGTGTGTGTGTGTGTGTGTGTGTGTGTGTGTGTGTGTGTGTGTGTGTGTGTGTGTGTGTGTGTGTGTGTGTGTGTGTGTGTGTGTGTGTGTGTGTGTGTGTGTGTGTGTGTGTGTGTGTGTGTGGTGTGTGTGTGTGTGTGTGTGTGTGGTGTGTGTGTGTGTGTGTGTGTGTGTGTGTGTGTGTGTGTGTGTGTGTGTGTGTGTGTGTGTGTGTGTGTGTGTGTGTGTGTGTGTGTGTGTGTGTGTGTGTGTGTGTGTGTGTGTGTGTGTGTGTGTGTGTGTGTGTGTGTGTGTGTGTGTGTGTGTGTGTGTGTGTGTGTGTGTGTGTGTGTGTGTGTGTGTGTGTGTGTGTGTGTGTGTGTGTGTGTGTGTGTGGCTCGATTATGGCAAAAATCATAATCACGTTTATTGTTGTGTTCAATGGCATTAAAACGCATATAAACACTGCTGAAGGTTAATCCAATGTCTCTGTGTCACTTTGAAATGATTACTGATAATCCATCATAACATTTTTGTCAAAAACTGAGTTTTCATATAGAGTGTATGAGAGCTCTAACCCAGCTCCCGGTTTTGGGCATGCTGGCTGCGCATCACTCTCTTCACCAATGGTAATGTTTAGATGGATTTAGGAACTTCCCCTCGATTCTATTGGCTCTAACGGTTCAAAAGTGGTGTCAATCACCAAAATCGACCGATGGGTTCCAGAGATATGGCAAATCCACCCAAATGACCCCAGAAGTGTTTTTTTTTTTTTTCTAAACCTCTCTAAAAAGGTCAAATTTCACTTGTTTTGCATCAATCTATATACAGGGTACTTATTATATGTTATAGTTTGGATTCCTAAAGCTTTCAGTCTACTATCCCATCATTCAAGGGTGGTTTTCACTATAAGTAATGTTTTTTTTTGGACGGAAACTATAATTTACATTTCTTTACTTTGTTCAATATGAATTTACTTTAGAGGGGATCTATCATGCAAAATGCACTTTTTTTTAATGTCTTTTATACATAAATATGTACACTCACAATCTAGCCGTGAGGGCTATTAGGGAGGGGCGAATGCGCACGCAGCAAAATAATCGTTTTATTTCGATTACGTTGTTTTCGTAATCGTTGCAAGCCAAAATCATAATCGAGATTAAAATACGATTAATTGCACAGCCCTAGTATGTATATGTTTGCGCATCATATGGTTGTAATATTTGCAGGGATTGATTCTGTCTCCAGGATTGTAAAGGTCGGTTTAAGAGTTAATATTTGGTTTCCTCAATGTTTGAAGCCTCTTCCAGTAAGCATTTCTTTTACATTATTAGTTCCTAAAAATACAAACTACGTTTCCAGATGTCACCTGCAAAGAAGAAAAAACGATTTGCTTTCACATTTAATTTATGCTGTAGCTAAAAATATGGTGTTTTTTTATATCAAACACAGTTCCGTTCCCTACATTTCTCTAATGTACTCTTTATTTACGTAAATTGAAAACTCCAAATGCCACCTTAAAGGCTTATAAAAGAAAAAAGCAAGGGCATAATTCAATATAGCAATGTAATGAAAAAAGTAGGGTATTTACAAACTGGATTAGTAAATTAATGCAGATCTGAAAAGTGGTTTTCAGCAAATATAATTTATAGTCATGCCAACATTTATAAAAAAAAAGGTTTTTCTAATGTTTCTCTTCAGCCTTGACAGCTCAGACTGAACCTAATTTGTTAGATGCATTGCAATGCTCACTATGTTGCTTGCTTTAAAAGCAATGTTGGTATTTGTCCAACATTGCATTTACTGCTGCTATTTGGCAGACTGTGGAATTGGCATGCCTACCACAAAGCAATTCTCCACATTACTTAAGTAACAGAGACCCTAATTACTTAAAAAGCTAATTGTGTTGAGTTTCAAAATATCAGTAGTGAGATGGAACACATTGTGTCAGCACTATGTGGCACTAAATCACAACCTGCTATGAATGTGCTGATGCCTTCAAAATGCACATCAGTAAAGACTTGTGAAAGTAACTCACCTAGTTGAATCTCTCATCCTGTACTAGTGATTACCTTACCACATAAAGGTATATTTTATGGCATTGATATGCATCTCACGCTTCATTAGCGTTCCTTTGCATAGCAGCATAAGATGCTATCTGTAGGAGAGTTAGTATTTAGCTTCATTAAGCCACCAGACTGCCTTTCAGCCTTTGAGGGGATTCTCTTTCCTAATTTGCTCTCAGATCACAGCTCTCATTGAATTACTGAGGGGATTTCAGTGGCTTTATTTTATTAGAGGGAGACTAATTATGTTATAATCTATGAACCAGGGGAGCAACGTCAGTAAACCCAACCGGGACCCCTGTGAAGGGGAGTTAGTGATTCTGCATCCTGTCTGGGTAGTGTGGGTAGAGGTCTTTCTTTATTTGAACTACTTTTCACAGCTTCGTTGGCATTGTTCCTGGTCTAATTGCAAACATAATATTTTCTCTTTGAAGATTCAATTGTGTTTTTCTTTTAAATAATGCTGTTTAAAATAAAGTAGAGGTGTGCCCGCAACTACCTGCTCCTCACTTTGATAACAGACTGATCCACCTTTGTTACCACTCAGGTGGTGGTGCTTCTTGCATGTATCTTGTAGTGATGTGGAAAAAATCAGTCGATCTAAGAATCATGGTTCTTATCTTTTCTAAGATTCAAAATCGAGTCACAACTTTCAAAAATCTATTTCTGAAATGTTTTTTCCTAATAAATAACCTTTGTGTGGGTTTGAATACTTTTTTTTAATGAACAATATTGATTAATATTATTAATTTTTTTAATATATTTAAACTTTGTTTTAAGTCAATGAAAATGTAAAAATAAATGTATTTTAAATCGGATTTGTTTGTACATAAATAAATGGTACTTTGTGCCTTTGTTTACATTATCACAATAAGTTAAAAATGTTTAAATACAAAAACTCAAAATGTTCACACAAACTTTCCACACCGCCTTTATAAGCCCACCGTAAACGGGAATAAACCTAAAATTAGCATCCATACAAACTGAAGAATCCATTTGTAATTGAGAATTGATTATGGAATCAAAACGTGACGCCAAGAATTGAAATAGAAGCTGAAAGATTTACACTTATGATATTGTATCTTGTCACCTCTCTTGTACGTCAATACTGATACAGTACGTACACTGAAAAATACTGTAAAAAAAATAGGCATTTCTCACAGTATCAATAGGGTGAAAAAAGCAGATGTGGTCATCTTTACGTACGTTATCTGGGTTTCCAGTCAGTGCTGTGTCTCTGTGTGTGTGCTGCTGTTTCAGAGTCCCAGCTGGTGTCTCTGTCACATCTCATACTCGTTCTGTCACCGGGCCACGTGGGAAGACCCGCTCCGAGACGAAAGCAAATCTGATGTCTTGTGTGTGCATTCCCACATACTGTGTGTGGCCATGGTGACAACCCTGTGTGCAGTTTAGCCATGGTAACCATAACAACCAGGGTTCCAGGGGATGGCGGGTGCGATATAGGAGCAGACAGATTTCCTTCAGGGAAAAGAGAAGCCTTTAACCTGTCATATCTTCGCTGCCTGCTCCACTTGTACTACGACATGTTACAACCCAGTATACATTACATACATAAATGGAGACTTTTGTTACTTTTTCTTCCTGAAGTTTCTTTGTATAGCTGCTTTTATCCTTTCTCTGATTCACAAATAGCACAGAGGCTAGAACTGTAAGGAGTTGAGCTTGAATGTGTTTTTACGTTGTCAAATTTTACATTAACACAAAGCTCAAGCATGTTTTCCAGAGCAGTTATGTGAAAATCCTCATATACAAACGTTTTATTTTTTTAGTGCTGTGCATTTTTATGCTCAGGATGTGTAGGAACATCTTTGTGTGATTTAAAAAAATGTTTTATGCCTTCTCATTTGTTAGGCGAGCTTGATAAATGTACAGGATGAATGCATGTGTCTCTGCTCTCTGTTTTTGAGTGGTTTTCTGAATGTAACTGAGCATTAAGGGAGACTTTTTGTTGGTGTGTTGTTGCGTTGCGTGTGCGCGGACCTCGCTTGCTAACTAGCGGCCTGACCTGAGATGATGGCAGATGAAAAAATGCTTCCTCCAAGGGCCATGAAGATGGGACCTTTGTGAAAGTGTTATGAAGTACTACAGTGTATCCTCTGAATATGAATGACTAACTGCACTTGGTCTAATGGACCTCACCTTAATTCTTTATACCACTAGCAGGTTGCATGTATTGATTTTTGAATAACAACATCAATATATCTTGTACTACTTTCGTTTTCCTCTAGTGTCAAAGTGAAGTAGATTTTTTCCCCACAATATCTCAACAATAATTACATGTATTGCTAGGAACATTTATGTTCCCCAGAAGATGAATCCAAGGCTAATACTTATGGCATTTCTAATCCTCATCTCCCAATTTATTTTGTGTGCAAATGAGCAAAATATTGACCTGCTACCACAACAAAATAAGGTGCTTAAACGTCTACTTGCCAACATTGTCATCATGCGCAAATTAGCATGAGCTAACTGGCATTAGCATTAGCTGTGTTTATGTGCAGGCTCACAAAGCTACTAGCTTTAGGCTTTAGACTCGTCTTGTGTCGTCACAAGGAGATCAAATGAGAAGCAGTGCCACAAATGAGTTAAATGAGGTTCACATTTGTTCTAGTTATTAGTTCTGTTTGTCTTTTAATTTCCAGTCATCTGTATACAACTACAGAGAAGCAGAGTAAACAAAAGTAGGGGATTTGTCTGTATGTCGCTCAGTGTGGACATATTTTTTGATAATGAATCATTTCCCAGAGGGTGGATGACGAGAGAAACACTCTGAATGTGGAAAAAGTCACAGACACTCACGATAAGCTATCATGTGATTGCTAAATCATTATGAATGCTTAGTCATGCTTTGGAATCAGATTAATTTAGAATAATGACAACAACACACAATCCTCCAAATGTTCTCCTGCAAGTGGCAATCCATTTTTAGTGGTGGGTGAAATAACCTCAACTTGCTTCACTTTTTTGGAGTATCCTCTGCACTGCAGGAGCCAGTGCAAGTAAGAGACCTGGAGGTGGAATAGAGGAATACAACCTGCTGTGACTAACACTCAAAGGCACAATATCTCTCTCTGTATGTCTTTCTATCACTTATGTGTGACTGCCAATTAGTCCATTTCGTGTCAGTTTAACAGAGGATGCCTATGATGCTGGGAAGTGGAATACCCCGAGCCTCTGGTGCGATGTCTCTGACAAGCTGCTTGGCCCTACTGATTTACTCTGTAATCTCAAATTCCCAGCTGAGCTCCTGTCACCCTCCATCACTTCCTAATGCACTGATTCTTACTCTCTTTTCCTTTTTTTTTGCTACAGGTATGATGTTGACTCGAAGAGCGCCAACCTGTCAAAACACGTGAGTAATAAAACTGTTGTTGTGCGCACATTAAGACATGTACGTTTTGTGTCTATTTTTGCCTCCACACTTTTGCTGATTGTATTCTGTGAGTGAGTGTGTGTGTGTCCTTGTTATTAGCTCCCATTAGACTCGTTTAGGCCACAACAATGAGTGTGCTTATCGTCTACTGTAATAGCACATTCCCTAAACGGCCTGCAATTCATTTGGAAATGAAATAAACACTAATTTCCCTGATAGCAGTCATTAGCATAACGGTAATTAGGAACAACAATGTGATAACTTGCCAGTGAGGCCTGTGTCCTGCCTACTGCATCATGGGAATTGTAGTTCAATCAGTAAGTATGAATGAGAAAGCGCAGTTGGTACTTGTGTCACGGGAAATTAGTAATAAAACAGTTAGAACCTTCGGATTAATATAAAAAAATACCTATTTTTACAGAATAATTTACATTTATTTCTGATCACTTGACCATAAAACATGTTAATTAATAATTAGCTAAACAGGTGAATTTTTTTTCATGCTAGCTGCTTGCCAATGCTGCTACTGTTAGCTGGCTGCTAACAGTAGCTTCAGACTTTCTAAAACTTTTCCTTTGATGGGTGGCACTGCTATCATTCAACAAAAGGGGAAGTTTTAATCTAACACCGTTAATCCAGTTACTAAACCGTTGTGATTCCTGAATGTCTGTTTGTCTATAATCTTGTGTACACATCTGTCGGATGTTCCGTAATATCTAAAACATGTTTGGGCAGGTGCTAACTGTGAAAACTGACAAGGACTGTCACTGTCCAATGCAGGAGAGTTATACCACCAATAACATGATAAGGAAGCTATAAAAGATTATACAACAGCTGTCTGTTCTACTCAAACCGTTATCTGGGGCCTCATTTATAAAGGGATATACGCTCAAAAAATGGCGTACGCCAGTTTCTACGCAATGTTTGCGATTTATAAAATACTAACTTGACGGGAAAATGTGCTGTCCTCCACGCAAACTCTAACCCATGCGTACGCACTAAGCACACAAACGGGAGAGACGAGAAACTGCGACACCGTTGGCAGAAGGAAGAATAGAGAGAAATATGTGGAAATAATACCATAAATAAAATGTTACCTCTCATTTATCAAATATGAAGAATTCATTTTCAAACATTGATTAAAGCCAATCTTTAAATGATTAAACAAACGCCTGTTTGCGACTCCTCAGTGCACACAAAAACATAACTTGGAGAAATAAATAAATGCGGATATGCTATTTAAAACCACCTCGAATATGTTGTGTTACTGTTATGAAATGTTTTCTCATAAATGATGCGGTAAGCAGGAGGACAGAATTACGTTTAAACTGACGCCGTTTTGCTTTTCTATAGGTTGTAGATACGAGCATGGTTTTATATACTATCACGTTTAATCGTGTTTTATGCCGTTTGCCAAGACTTGATAAGTCGCTCGTAAAACACAGGAGGTATGGAAACTAAGAACACCATATGTGGTAAATTGTACAGCTAATATAACACAACACATTAGTTGTATTTCCTTTAACTGGTGGATTATGGATATATAGTTGCTGATCGACAGCTGGAACACACACCACCAAATACAACAAAATAATTCAGATCCAGTCGTCATGACTCCACTCCGGAGGGATTCCCCGATCATTTCTTAGTTTCTCATCAAGGGGGTGTCTCCTGTCCCCGGTACAAACACACTGCCTGAGGAAGGTTAGGTTATGTGTATTTTTTTTGTCATTAACTTTTTTCGGACCACTTATTTATTTATTTTGGTGACGATCCGACCTCCATGCTGCTACTCTGGTTCAAACTGCATCCACCAAACAATATGATTTATCTCGACCTCCCCACAATAACCTAAATCTGACACGGTGTGAGATGTCTTTTTTAGCTGTTCTATCGTCATTTCCTGCGATCTTCTTCATGCAGTCAGTCAAATGAATGAATGAATGGGCGTTTCTTTGACTATTTATAGGCAAATATGGGCGTTACGAGTCGATTGTGATTTATCAAGGGAAACAGGCGTAGGGAGTGCCGTACGCACTTCCCTCGCCGGTACGCAACGTTTTGTGAATCGGAAAATGGCGGAAAATGTATGTACCTATTTTTGTGCTTTGTACTACGTAAGCAACCTTCCTACGACAATCCTACGCAAGGCGTTATAAATGAGGCCCCTGGACATTTACATTTATAGCTCCAGTGTCCATAATAGCCAGTTGTGCAGTAATTCCTCCTTCTACTCCGCAGCTTTTGTCTACCACCTGAAAGAAAAACACTCAAACTGTGTATACAATATGTTTGTGTCTGTGGAAAGCTCATTTGAAGTTACACTGACCTGCCTGCTGTGTGCTCTCAGCAGAGCACAGACAGTGAGTCACATTCTGCCCTGATGTGACACCCTGCAACTGTGTTTCCTCTCAGCGTCCGACCCAACCAGTCTGCTCGCATATCATACAACAAAGTCACAGGATCTTCTCTGTGTCACAAGCAAAAGAGGCAGTGATTATTGGAAGAAACAGTAGCGGATGGGAAATGTATGACTCGAGAAGATGAGAATTATATATTTGAGCAATCCGAAAATATTACTAGAGCTGTTAAAGATGAACACATAGAAGACTGGTGCTTGTGCTTGTGTTTTCTTTATAGTTTACAGAATTTAACATCATTGTTAGAACAGACTTTATTGTGTCCTAGGGCGATAATATTGCTACTATGGTAATGTTCATGTGCTCTAAGGTAAATAAATGACTACTATTTCAGTCTTTCAAAAACTTATTTAAAGGGGCCCTTTTATGCAAATGTTCAGGTTTCCTAATTGTATTTGGGCCTCTACTGTGACATGTTTCTATGCTCTAATGTTCAAAGAGTGCTTTATTTTGTTTCTGCTGCACCTCTTTTCACCCTCGATCTGAATCTAGAGCTCAGTCTGCTCTGATTGGTTAGCTGGCCGAATCTGTTGTCATTAGTCAACCGCTTGGAGATGTCCCACCCTTATCACGTACAATGTGTTGGAGCGCTAGCCAATAGAAGCTCGAGGGTTTTGTAGTGATGTCACTTTGTTACTGAAGTAAACAAAGGTGTCCAATGGAGGCGTTTCAGGCAGGGGGGGGGAGGGGGAGTGTGTGGGAGAGAAACTCCTCTGATGTTAGCCTTTGCAGACCATTTACTTTACAAAAATCTAAAGAACACACTACAGGAAAGGGAAAAACCTTAAGAAGCATAATACAGCCTCTTTAAATTGAGTACGTGAATGATCTTGTGAAACATACAGTCCGCCTCTATAGAGTGCCTTCTGGTGAGCAATCCCTTCTCCCGTGTTTTCCTATTGAGTCATTTCATTTCTATGATACCATGTTCCTGTGAAATTGGAAAAAGTATTTTCTTTTTTTTTTTTATCACAATTTCATGACCGGGTGTTAATATAATAGGTGTATTTGAGGACCTGTGTAGAGGCACAGGACAAGGTTGTGTTTCTGCACTTCCTATTAAAGTACCATGTACCGGTCAGAAGGGATGGAGAACGACATGCCGGATACACATTTTATTTAACCATTATCCTCTATTACAGCAAACTGCTGTCCTGTATCATTATGTGGCATCACACTGAATGGTGCAATGCATGGCAATACTGTCATATTCATTTCTCTGATGGTATTTTTAGTTTCCACCTAAACACAACCACATATACTTTACTATGTCTGAAGAAAACAGCATAGAAATGTGACATTTAAATGCAGTAGTAATTTAAAAAAAGCAAACACACTTAGCTAGTTTAGGGTACATCTTGGTCTTGTTTTCAAAATGGTATCCTGCAAAAAATCTCAAAACTATTTGTATTATTGACATCATGACGGTTTAAAAAAGCATCTATAGAGATTTTTTAAGTTGACATTATAACACTGTGTCATGGCCATTTTCATCTACCTCCAACAATAATCTATAATACGTGTTATTCAGTTTTTGTGTCCTTTAAAAGGCTGAATGAATGCCATCAACTGCACTCTTGACATTTATTTCACAGTAACTATATGAACCTAGGTGTAGATAAATTGGAAAATAGTCCCAGTCTCTCAAAAACAAATTGCATTGCTCTTAGTTTCCCTTCAGGATTTCTCTCTGGTAATAACATGTGTCGCTTTGTTGTCTCTCTGGGTTAAAATCCATGCTTTCCTCATCTCTCTTTCTCATCTTTTACCATCACTGTGTCACCTTTTTTTATTTCATTGCCAGCTCACACTTTCTCTCTTTCTTGATCTCTACATTTCCCATTTCCCTCCAGCCTTGCCTCCCTTTCTTGTAATCAATAATCTCCTACACGAAGAGACAGGCATGTGACTGGCTTGGGGTTGGAGGGTAGGGGGGGTTGTGGGGGGGGGGAGCGCCAATCCATTAGATGGTGTTTTAACATGGGAGCTGTTGGCTGCAGGCACACCTGGGAACAGAGTGAGAACGAGTGTGGAATATAGAGGGCCAGGTCCATAGTGGGGGAGAGAGAAACATGTCCTGTTGATGAGATAACACTTATTTATATATCTGTATGCAGATGGTTAAGAAGTAAGGCTGATCTTTTTTGATTAATTTGAAAATGCAAATCAAAAAATCTGTAAATACTCTGATAACCAGCTTTGAATAAGTCACCTTTTTATAAAGGGTTTGTAAGTGTTTCCATCGTTGTTGTTAATGGCTACTGAACATGGATGAAAAGAATCAAGCTTCAGTATATTCCCTTTCCTCCTGAAACGCCTCGATTGGACTCCTTTGTTTACTTCCGCAGCATAAAGACATCACTACGAAACACTCACGCTTTTATTGGCTAGCGTTCCAACAGATTTTATAGGCTATGGGTTGGGACATCTCTAAGAGGTTGACCAATCACAACAGAGCCGGCCAGCTAACCAATCAGAGCAGACTGGGCTCTGGTTTCAGACAGAGGCTGAAAAGAGGTGCTGCAGCACATTATGCAGTATGAGAAAAATAAAGAGATCCATAAGTAATTCAGCCAATAGTTTCACAAAGACAATTATCCGATGGACCTTGATTGATTGATTGATTGATTGATTGATTGATTGATACATTTTATTTCGAACAAGTAAAATAAATAATTACAAAACAAAACAAATGTTGCAGTGCATAGTCATGTAAGAGAAATCAAAACAAAAAATGACATTTCCAACAACAACAGGATTAGCAACATAAACAGTCCCACATCTAGTGTTCGAAAAGGAGTGAGAAGAAGTATAATTTATTTAATCTCACCCCATTGTCCCTAAATGATTTATTTATAATCTATAATCTGCAATAATTATCATTATTATTAATTATTATTGTTATTATTATTATCTGCTTTACCTGTTGATTGACATATATACATACATATGTCATATATACATACATATGTACATACACACATACATACAGATATATACATATATGCACATTATACATATACACACCTACATACTCACACATATACACATATTCACATACACATAGTCAAACACCTTCCCCATCTCTGTACCTCGAGAAAATAATTTCTCTGTATTTCCTCTTGAACTGGTTAATGTCTGGACATCGCTTTAGCTCCACATTCACACAGATCCATAGTCTCACTCTGTGGATAACAGCCCTTGTTGCTAGGTGATATGTGACTTTACTGCAAAGCTTCTACTACACTACAGTAGAACATAAAATCAAAACCACTTTTACAATGTTATTGCATGACTTATTGTAGCAAAAACAAACAGTGTTGCAAAGTAACCTCTAAGCACTATATTTGAGCTATTTCCATTTTATGCTACTTTATGCTACTACACTTGTCGGTACACTAACATGGCAAATATTTCAAACATCACTTTGCATGTTCATGTTTTCAATAACAAAGATTCCTCGACTAATTCATTATGATGTTCTATGATTGATAAATATACCTGCCAGTATCATCAAATCTAGCTCCACCTTTTCAAGCTGCATAATTAAAATGATTTACACAGTAATGGATTATCAAATATAATCAATTGTAACAATATATATTATTCAGAAAATGGCCATTCTGCAGTATTTTATGTTTTGATACATTTATTTTGATGCTAATTATTTTGTACTTTAGCTTAAGTAACACTCAGAAAACAAGACTTCTACATGTAATCGAGAATGTCTACACTGTGGTATTGCTAGTTTAACTTAAAGGTCCCCTATTATACTGTTTTTCATCAATATATTATAGGTCTCAGATATATACAAACCATGTCTCTGAAGTGTTTGGCTCCAAACACCAAACAGATCATTGTAGCATCCCATAATCCCCTCTGTTTCAGCCCTGTTTCAAAAGTGCTGATTCTCTGTCATTTACTTTAGATGAATATAAGGAGCCACTCCCCACACCCCTCTGAGAGATATTTGGTTAACACTAGAACCGCCAACAGGTCAATTTTACCCGCAGCTGTTTTTTGATTGTATGTAACTTTTTTTCAATCAAATATTATAGTCTCCCAGTCCGTGACTTTTCCTGAAAGTGTGTTATGTAGCACCCTCTGTTGTTAAAAATTGTCAATATGAAGTCAGATTGAAAAAATCGCCAAAGAAATAGCCATTTATACATATATATATATATATATATATATACATGTATATTTACAACGCCTTTTGTCTACTGCAGTCTCCTTAGAGAGAGAGAGACAGAGAGAGAGAGAGATCTTGGATGACTGAGCTCACGTTGATGACGTAATGCATGTGTGCAGGTTACGTGCCAGTTGAATAAAGATGGACACTCGGAATGAGAGAAGTAGTCCGCGTCGTCTGTTTATGTAGGCAATTATAGAACATTACAGATAGATCGATAGATAGTTATAGATAGATAGAGAGAGAGATAGAGAGATTTGTACCTAAACAAAACACAAGTCTAACACCAAGCATTTAATTCAGCACTGGTAGCAATATTTTATACTTCATGCTTTCTGCACAAACTATATCATATGAAAAGCTGAGAGTCCACAGATTCTATTGGTATAAGTTTCATCCCTGTGCGATCAAAACTCACTGTTCTGAATGATAAATAAAAGAACATTGTACCTTGAAAATCAAAAGCGGGTAAATTTGACCCGTTGGCGGTTTTAGGTATACAGCGACCTCTGGCGGTTCTAGTGTTAAAAAGAACACAATGGTGCTCTAGGAGGAGATTCAGGTGATAAGGTGGGGGGGGGTGTTACCTTGGTTGGTTATTGGCTAATGGTTACACAAGCCAACAAATCATTATGACATCATAAAGTGCCCAAAATCTGATCAGCTCATTTTCAGACAGGTTTTTATATAAATGGATCATGAGAAAAAGTCAGCAAATCTTTTTTCCTGAAGCATTCAGAATCTCTTTACACAGAGGGGACACATGTTTATGTACAAAAGACGTGAAAAAGTGGATTTTGCATAATAGGTGACCTTTAAAAGTCCAGTTTTGACATGTCACATGATACTTGAGATAAACAGGTAAGCTTGGTAGATGGATAGATATAGCCACATAATAACAGAAGAGACTAATCAATGGAGCGAGTAATCCATTATGTTAGCGCTGCCTGGAGCCATTCTGTCACATATTAGACATGCTGTCCAATAATGACAAACAGCCTCAGCACTGTGCCCCTTGGTGAAATGTGGCTAGCAACAGCATGTTTCTTTAATAGCTTTTAGAGGGATGTGAAGTGTGTGTGTGTGTGTGTGTGTGTGTGTGTGTGTGTGTACAGTAGCTGTGTTTCATACTTTCATTTTGAAGTCTCACTGAGCAAGCAGATTGCGATGGTTGCCAATTCTTCATGCGAATAAATTAAGTTTCGAGGAGTGATCTCTTCTTTCATGTGTCCTCCTTTCAGTCAGCATCAGCGGAATAAATTCAGTATGTGATGGCAGTTTAATTTGCCAGGAACGCAGCGGATAGGGCGCAGGTGTGAGGGCTGGTGGGAGGAAGACTCAATCTATTTGGCAGTATTATCTGTCAGTGGGGGAACATGGAGCTATTTGAAATGGCTGTGTGGTTGCACTGTAGAGACCAGCGATAAGGGTATTCTTTATGAGTTTATGGCTGTGTCTTTTTTATAAATATAATTAAATGTGTTTATTTGTTTATGTCATGTCCTGTGTAGGGATGTTCAATCTCAAGTGTTTAGCCCTTGATCTACAGCTGCAGAGGTTACACAAATCAATCCAATGCACATGCTTGACAATGGAATACCATAGACGACAGAAAACTAAAACTAACACTGAGCTGAAATTAAACGATTGCACATAAATGAGGTACAAGTGCCATAAATGAACAGGTTCATTCGATGTTTATAGCATTGCTGTGATTAAATGTGTAAATAAATATGTGTGATAACAGATGTGAAACCAAGTGTCAGATCAGCATATTATAGCTCTATATAGCTGACACAAATTGCCTTGATTGGACTGATCTTGGAGATCCGACCAGCCTTAGCAGATCTGACCTAGCTTTGTCTGAATAACAAAAACACTTTTTTAAAACTCTCTTTCTTTCTCTTACTCCGCAGGATTTTCTGGGCCAGGCCTACTGCACTCTGGGAGAAGTGGTTGGATCACTGGGGAGTCGCTCGGAAAAACCTCTTGGGTGAGTATTTGTGCCCATAGCTGGGAGTTTGCCAATATTTCAGAGCTGATGTATTTCCCCCTATTAGTTAGGTTTTTTGAGAGAATCAATCCTTCTGATGAAGTATGAAGTACTTTAAATCAGTTTGCATTCATTCTCTTAGAAGTTTGTTGAATGACAGTAAGTTGTGTTACTGTAAATCCACCTAGCTCTCTATAGAGTAAATTAATAACAGGGACTTCTTACAGTACAACCAGCGTGAAAGTGACTTTGTCCCCAAACTATTTGCTCTAGAGCAGAATATCCGCTGTTTGTTAATTGGAGTTACTCAAGCAATAAGCTAAGGAAAAGTATATGCCTCTAGTTTTTTAATGAACACACTCATGCACACAAAAACACACTCGGGTATTGATACACATTCAAACATTTCAGGCTCATTAAAGCGATGGTGATCAGACTTGTTAGCCAGCCTGCATGTAACACATAAAGATCACTGCATCTGTGTGTGGGTGTGGGCATGTGTTTCTTCTGTTTGATACAAATAGTTCTCGGTACATGAAGTTATTTAAAGTTGAAGAAAAAGAGAAGGCAGAACATACTCGCCTAAATGAGCCCGCAGCCTTTGTCTTTGATTTATAAGCAAACAAGCAAAAGGTATTAGTTACAGTTACAGTTACTATTAAAATACCTTGATGGATATCAACAGTATAGCCTGCTTCTTTTGGAGCACTAATTAGAATGCATCATTATCTACTTCTATCCATGAGGCTGCTCTTTTATAGCCCATAGTGGCTTCTTTATTGCGTCTTTTTTATCCAATTTGCTTTTTCATTTGAAGCGTTCATGAGCCTTGAGATCTTAAAAGGCTGGTGTCAGGGGAAATAACAGCCAAGCTGGCATACCTTCACTGTGTGTGTACTGTGTATGTGTGTGTGCGAGCTTATATATCGTATTTAAAAACTCTTACTAATCTAGTAAACATCCTGGCAATTGTTTATAAAATCCCGATGTAGTGTGACGCACCATATACGTGATTTTATGTTGTACTTAGTATGAACACAAATACAATGTTATGCGATTTCCCCACATCCCTTTATGCACTTGAGCAGCAATCGCCATGGTGATCGCAGCGGAAGGTTACTCACTCACAGTGAAAGAAAGAAAGAAAGAGAGAGACCTGTCCGTCCATGTATGTGCACCATGGGCCCCTCCAAAGTGCAAAACGATGTTTTCCGCCCTTAAGCCCCACTGATGGAAACACACACGCGCGCACGCACACACACACACACACGCACGCACGCGCGCACGCACACACACACACACACACACACACACACACACACACACACACACACACACACACACACACACACACACACACACACACACACACACACACACACACACACACACACACACACACACACACACACACACACACACACACACACACACACACGTTCTTGTAGTCATTTGATAATATAGTGTTACAGGAATGAGTCCTAAACCCGGAAGTGAATTAGCATCTTAGCACTTAGCTCCTACATCTCAAATTCAAAGTTCTTCTGAATTAGTTTTTGGTTGATGTATACAAGCCTACGATATTTACACGATTTGTTTTACGACATAGAATATGCCAGTATGCACCCAACTGGTGAACGTGTGAAACTTTTATGGGTCTTTAAAACAGCGGTTGCTAACAAATGGCTCAACGAGGCTACTTAACATCATCACACTGAACATTAGCCGACTTTAGCTTAGCGGAGTTGACGCATGTGGTTTGTCGATTGCATTTACGCTTCAGCTATTAGAAAAGTGTTGTTTCTATGTGGAGATTGCTGCTAACAGTAACAGATCTTATTTTTTGCAAAATTCCCAAAACCAAAGGAAAGATTTTGACTTTTTGTCAAGGGAGCCCTTCAGATACTTACTTTCCAGGTAGGCCTTCAAAAAAGATAGGCCCACGATAGCAACAGATCAGCTAGACTCAGCTCAAGCACTGTTCCACCCTGTATAAGCAGTTACAGATAATGGATGGATGGATGTATAAAACAGGTGTCATATAGACCATTTATAGCCCCGGTTTTTAAAGAAATGTGTGATTCGGTGCAGAAGCAGAACCCCTGTCAACATTTATTAAATACAAACGTACAGAGGCCACAGCTGTTGCAATCATTGTCTTGCCGAGGTTGTGTCTGTATGTATATGTGTGTGTGGGTGTGTGTTTGACTTTGTCAGACACACACCTGCAGCCTGACACGACAGGGGGGATCTTTAACAATTGTAATGAGTGCTAATTACAGCTAATTACATTGTTCAATCAAACTCGTGTGTGTGTGTGTGTGTGTGTGTGTGTGTGTGTGTGTGTGTGTGTGTGTGTGTGTGTGTGTGTGTGTGTGTGTGTGTGTGTGTGTGTGTGTGTGTGTGTGTGTGTGTGTGTGTGTGTGTGTGTGTGTGTGTGTGTGTGTGTGTGTGTGTGTGTGTGTGTGTGTGTGTGTGTGTGTGTGTGTGTGTGTGTGTGTGTGTGTGTGTGTGTGTGTGTGTGTGTGTGTGTGTGTGTGTGTGTGTGTGTGTGTGTGTGTGTGTGTGTGTGTGTGTGTGTGTGTGTGTGTGTGTGTCACCCACCAGCAACAGTATTTAAAACAATGACAAGCCTATCATATCTGAAATCTATAATGCAAATCATATTTATAATGCATTAGAAGTAGCCTTTAGCTGTCATAAATATTCATAACGTTTTAAAATAATCATCTGCCCAATGTAAAAAATTATACAATTACTTATAAAGTATAGTATCATAAAACTTCTTAATTGCATTTCTTTGCAAGTCTCATATTACATTACATTACATGTTACTTGTTAGACGCTTTTATCCAAAGCGACTTACATACTCAATACTGTGGGCAATCCCCACAGGAGCAATTTGGGGTGAAGTGTCTCAGGGACACAACGACATGCTGACTGCGGTGGGGTTTGAACCTGTGCTCCCCTGATCCGAACACCAACGCTCTATCCACTGCCCCACACGCCTTCATATAGTATTATATATCTAATAGTTGTTTCAATATAATTTCAATATTTTAATTCAATCGTGAATTATATAGGTAATGACTGGTTTGGAATAATAATAAAATATGCAGAAATGTCAGTGAGTGACCATCAATTATTAAGTATACGAGTGTATGTGCCACACAATATCATTATAGTATGATTTTACAAAATCAAACTAGCTGTTTAGCCTGTATCCAGTCTTTATGCTAAGCTAAGCTAAGCTAACTGGATGTTCGCTGTAGCTTCATATTTGGTATTCAGACACTGATATACTTTTTCTCATCTCTCAACTATCGGCAAAAAATGCAAATATCTATATTTCCTAAAATGTCAAACTCCCGTTAACTTGCAAAGACAATGTGGACCTCTCAATTTTGAAGTTGACTAATGAAATGTGTTTTTTACCTTGATTTGAGCTAATGTTATTCAAACTACTTAGCTCTTCTAACTAAAGTAAAAGATAAACATAAATGTAGTATGCTGCATGTTGAATCTTATACATTCCTCTGGGCCTTTTCATTGCACAAAAGTGTTACCCTGACACACTTTTGGTTAGATTTGCATTACAGTAATCGGGTTTAGTGAATACCACCTAAGAGAGAGATTATTATCATCCTCTTGCAGTACTGATGCTGGTGTTCAGGTTGAGATTTAGTTTCCACCACTCTTTTTTTATTATCTATTCTTCTCGATACTTCCTCTCACACTCGCCACCCTCCTTTGTTCCCCCCAACAATCCTCCGTGTTCACAGGGTCAGAGAGAAGCCCCGGTGAACTGCAGACAGAGCTAAGTGGGCTACAATTTAGCCAAGTGATCCAAGAACGCCAACACCAACAAAGGCCGATAGCTGTGAATACAAGCCTGATTGTATTGATTTGTAAAGGACGTACAATGAAACGCTCTTTCTGCCTCTTAGTGGGGAGACATGGATTTTATGTGAATGTTTCCTTTTGTTTGAGAGAATTATGGTTATGAGTTTCCTTTTAGGGGAAAAAGTGTGTGTGTGTGATTGTGTCGCAGCATGACCAAGAGTATATGAACTCTCATGTTCCTATCATTATAATTGATATCTCATTCAGGTATTACCCCCGGTCATTGGGGATATAATGAAGTTGACGCAAGTGTGTGTCTGTCTGAATTTGGGTGCGTGCGTGTGCGTGTGTGTGTGCGCGCTTGTGTGTGCTTGTGTGTGTGTGTGTGTGTGTGTGTGTGTGTGTTAACGCTGTAGCCGAGAAGTGGCCTAGACTTAATTACCCGTCTCTTGCCAGACGCTGATTGCAAATCCATGTGCCTTGATTAGAGGATTCACAGTGTGTCCTCTCTCTCTCACACACACACACACACACACACACACACACACACACACACACACACACACACACACACACACACACACACACACACACACACACACACGCACACACGCACACACACACACACAGATATTCCTGAAGCACTTTTCATCTTTGAAGTGCCTTTTCTTTTTGTGTAAAAGAGGAAAACATTTTTACTTTAATGTGAGGATGATGACATTTTTGGATGATGAGCATTTTTTAAAGTTTAGTTTTGATTCAAAACACACATTGAGTCCACCAAAAATAGAGATATAACAGTTAAAAAAAAATTGTCTGGCTTTTTCTCGCATCTAGGATGATCCTCTCTCTTGTAACAAATAGTACCAGTGCTTGTTTGTTTTTTAAATGACAACAATACTCGCACAACAATGTTACTGCTATTACTCATAAGTTGTCATCATGTGTCTTTTTAGGGGAAAACACATTTTCTCAGAGGCAGTTTACACATTCACATAAATAGCAGCGCACAGTTTATAAAGGCGTTTCAACTATATTTTATTCATATTTGAGCTTTGCACAGTCCTTCTTGTCTTTACAACATACTGTGTCTGTGTATGTAAGGCAAAACTATACATAATTCCTCCAGTAACTATGCAATCCTGAAGCCCACGCAT